GGTTTTCCTCAGTCTGTACCTACAGAAAAGTGTTGCGACCAATTTTCTAAGGTAAAGTAAGGACCAAACTAAAACTTGGCGATAGAAAATAATTTCTTGCTCGTCACATGAGGCATTGGGAGCAAAAAGAAAAAAAACGGACCAATGTGCCCCACTTTCCCCTACTGCGCCTGTATCGGGAGGCCGATCACCGGCGTCCCTGGCTGGGCTGACGTCACGCCGCGGGGCACAGCAGGGACAGCGCGGGCGTCGCGCAGCCCAGCGCTGCACCACATGCAAATATGTATAGGGGACGCAGAGAAGCCGCTTCGGACCAGGTGAGGTCTGCAGGCTGCAGAGAGGGAGGGAGAGAGAGAGGGACGGCTGTGCGTGGGCGGTGGGCCCGATGCAGCCGCGGCGCAAAGATAAGCCCCGGGGTACGCTGCTCCCCGTCTCAATAGGTCGGCCCAGAAGAGTGACTGTCCTGTGGTGACTGTTGGTGACTGTTGGTGACTGTTGGTAACTGTTGGTGACCGTAGAAGAAAGCTAACTGGCGCGCAATGTCGGTCGCGCCGTACCGCAGCAACAGAAGCTCGCGGACGCGGCGGTGTCGTACGGATGCGACGCGACGCGGCCCCGCCCGGCAAGCCACCACCAGAGACAGTCCGGGGACGCGGCTGTGGCCCCACATGGACCTCGCCCCACCCGCTGCCCGCGGCGGCTCCGCTGTGCGTGCGAGTGAGATTGCGTTGCGTCATACCAGGTCAATGGGGGATAGCAGGCGCCCAATCTCAAAACGGAAGTGTAAAGACTCGAGGAAGTGACGAACCAAAAATAACTTGCAGTGCAGCGGATACGTGCCGAGAACGCATGTCCACATTGCGGTCATACATACGCAGAGTGTTGAAGACAGCCAAGCTAGTCCGCGTGAGAGGCCGTCAAAATACGACAGTTCCTTATCACTTAGAGTACGCCTCGCCGCAAGTGAGAAATGGGAACATGGATTCAACGTCGACGTTGAAGAAAATGCCCGGGAGCGATTGTTTTCATCTCCGATTCTGTATTTGCCTTTACCAAAGTGCGGCGATGGCGGCGATTGTCCTGGCTCGAGCCTGGCCACTCGCCACCTGGTGGTTTTTTTTATTATACCGCCGGCATCGGCAGGATGCCGTCATCTCAGAGGCGTTTTTGTTTTCCCTTTTATTCACTCGGCATGTCGGGACTGTCGGGACGCGGGTTTGCTCTCCTCTATAGTCCTGTTGCCAACGAGTCCGCGGCTCGGCTCGCGACCGCGCTGGGTCGATCCTGAATGCATCGTATCGGAACACTTCTCCACACAGCCCACCCGCTCCTCGACCTGTCTCTTTCTCTCAATCCTCTTTGGAAGCAAGCCGGGAGGAGCGCTGACTGAGCCGTCTTTGAAATCCCATATCGTGATTAATGTATTAATAAAACGGAAGGTGTTCCGTTGCTTCGGCGACACCGCTTTTCTGTGCCCGCCACCCTGTTCTCAATGTCACGTTCGAATCGCCCAGCCAGAAATGAAAATTGTATCGATACCTCGATTTGGGTGACAAAAGTATGTTTTTCGATCTACGTCGACGTCGATTCGACGATCGATCGAATTCCATTTCTGGATGGCTGGAAAAGGACTGTACTCTTTGCTCTGTGAGTTGGATAACAGATTCAAACGGGTGTCTGGCGCGGGCGCGCGTATCGCATCTCATCCCTTCCCCATCCCTACAAGACGCGGCGCGGCAGCGGTGTGGCTGCATCCTGACGGGGACCACCACACTATCCTCCTAGTCGGGCGGGGAAACCTGGAGAGGGTAAGGATACCTCACGCTTCCGGCTCGCGGTCCTCCTGGATCACCGTCGGCGGTGGCCTTGACTTTCCCGCCCAGCGCGTGCAAACGTTTATTTGGTCCCAAAACACGCAGGCTGCCTCCTGTCGATCTAGAAACGACACACAGTTCTTGTCCATGACGACATCGCAACGACACGTCGGTTGTCCCTCTCCTCCGAGGTCGCCTCGATGTCGGTTTGGTCGGTTTTTTATTTGATCCCGGTTCGCAGTTGTTCGGCCACACCTCCTAACCTAACCTGCACGCGCCGTCCGCCTCACATCGCCCGAGAGCTGCCTCGCTGTTTGGGCCGGCCCCGTCAGGCCCCGCGGACATTGAACCCCCGGCTTTGACCCGCAGTTCCCGCAGTGTGGCCCGTCCGGGCGGGCGAACTGAACGCGTAGACGTCACTTAGAGGTTGCCGCACGATTCGGTGGTAGATATTAAGGCACACTAACCACCAGACCACCGCGTAATGAGTATTACTTAGTTTTGGGTCTTCTTTCTTCCCTGCAAAAACAAGACACTAGAATACTTATAGTCCCAAAATATCCATATTCCCGAAAAATAAGAGAGAGGGAGGGGAGGGGGAGGATAATATAAACTTTCGTTGAGTTATGAAAGTCTGCGTTGCCAGTTATGGCGACCGACACTAACAAGCACTATGATTGGACGCTGACTTTGGCGGTTTTCACAGGCAAATGAAGTGTTTTCCGGGAATCGCTCCAAAGGAACGCGGTGACTTGACCCAGAATTTCAATTGGCTCGCTGACGTCGCCGAGCTGGTGGCCGGGCCGAGTGGTGAGCCCGTGTGACTGGATGCACGCACGGCGGCGGCGGCCCTCCGACCGACCCCGGGACCGGAACCACGTGACACACGACGACAAGCAGGCGCGTGTTGGTGGGGACCTCCGTGTTTGTCAAAGACTTACAACACGAGAGAGTGTGGCTCGCATCTCGGCCAGCGGCAGCGCGGCGGCTGTGGCTGTGGCTCTAGTGACCGCCAGGAAGGTAGGCAATTTGTGCCACAAAACCTCTGTGAGTAGGCAACCCACACCCACGGTGCACCGGCACCGGCCCCTGTCAGCCGGACCTTATACCGCGCCTGGGCAGAGGTACAGGCCGCGGGGACGCGCCCTGCCAACGGCGTCTTTGCCCGCGCCATTACCTGTCCCACTCGCACCTGATGGGGTGGGCGGCGGGTGGGCGCTGCCCCGGGGTCACATCTGGCCGACGGCGGCCCGAGCACGAGCAGCTTCGTTAACGCGGGGTGGACGGCGGGGCAGGGGCGCGGCAGGGGCGCGGCCGGCAACCCTTCGACACTGCTCCATAAAGTGTTTTCCAGTCGACACCTTCGCCGCCACCGGCCGCGCCCCCAACGCGCCACGCCCCCGACGTGCCACGCCGCCGCCCGCCACGCTCGCAAGACTCAAACGCAGTGCCGGAAACCCCACAGCGCTTTGCACAGAGTCCTCTGTCGCGATCTCGCCAGCACGCCGCTAGTTACTTGCCCGTTGTTGTTCGCGCCGCCGCGCAACTTGTCGCCAGGTCCTAGAGGCGCCTGTACGTACTCTACGGCTTCAGTCCATTAACTCGCTGTCGTTTGTCGCCACGCGGGGGAAACGGGTCGCCCGAGACAGTGTCCCGAGACAAGCACACCACCACGCGACCTGTGCGACCGCCCCGACTCCGGATTAAACTGAAATCAAATTAAAATGAAATCCAAAGTAATGAGCGAAGTCAGTCGTTGGGTCCCCCTCCCTCCCTCCCTCCCTCTCGGTTGGGGCGGGGTGGGGCGGTCGGCCCATTCAACGCCGTCTATGTTTGGCCGGTGTGCCGGCCGCCGATGTGCGCTCGGCCGTGAGCCTCGCAGGCTCCGGGCGTGCACCGGACATGCTGTCCAGGAACTGCCCCCGGGGCCGGCCGCTGACGGGCAAACACGGAGGAAAAATAGTAGTGCACACTCTAATAAGTTGTGTCGGTCCGGAGTTTGAAGAGGGGAGGGCGCCGCCCTCGCGCCGTGACTGATTAGCCCTCCCCCACCCCGCCCCCGCCGCAGCCGAGGCGCACCAACGCCCCGCGGGGCACTGAGCTCCGTCTCATCAGCATAACAAGGAGGGCGGGAGTTGGCGAGGAAAAAGTGCGATTCGCGCCAAAGACAACTTCTTAGAAAAAGTAATATTATGGATAATTGGGACAGGTTTGGGGAGGGAGCAGTGTCGATGCGACCCCTCTTGTGATGTGAAACATGAAACAAAGTCTGATGTAATCACGAGACGACAAACATTGATGTGCCATAATGCCCTTGTTGCTCTCTGCAGGAGACTGCGGGGCGATGACGTCCTCACGGGGGGCGGCTCTGATCGGCGCCGACCAGCGACTCAGCCACCAGCCCGCCCTGCACACCGGCTGAGGCCAGCCCCGCGGAGGCCCGCCGCGCCCTCCACGACGACAAGCTCTCCGGCCCACACGCGCGCCGCCTCCTTCCTTCCTGACCCTGGCGGAGGGCAGCCGGACCGCGGCCGTCCGAAACTTTCATCGCCAAAATTGTGGTTGCAACTGTAAACCTGACGCCGAAACGGCTCAATGAGGTGAGTAGTGTTCCAAGCTCTTGCCTTCGAGGGGTACAGTGCTTCACTATCAGTTCAAGAGTATACACCCTTTTCCTTGATTTATTTTTTTTCGAATTTATCTCTTAGTTATTTTCCCGATTTTTCCTATTTTTTCCGTGTTTGTTTTTGGAGGGTGTACACTGTGTTTTTCGGAGGGGGCAGAGGGAGTGAAGTACCCCTTGGTTCTTCGCTCGCGTCGAGCCCTGCGCAGCGGCGTTCCCAGAGGCTGAGCACCTCGTCGTCAAATGGTGAACTCACCTTGAGGTAACTAGAGTCCTATCGACTGAATCGACTCTAAAGCGAGCGAGTGCGCCGCCAGGCTTCGCTGTGCTTCGCCTCCACGCGCCGCAGCTCTGACCGGTTTTCTCAGGCCGAAAACGAAAATTATGCGCGACGAAAAAAAAAAGAAGACAACGCGGGAAAGAAGCGAGCGCGCGCGTGGCATTGGCAAGGATGTGATCTTGGTGTCTGTATCGTTCGGGCGATCATCTCTATATTGTTGATCATTGGCCCTAGTGTGCGAATAAAAAGAACGCCTCGTTGACGTAAACCTTGAACCTGTAGAGCTAACTTCACAACTAGTGTGTTGTCGTCGATGATTGATACAGTACGCGGATGAACTACTCACGGCCCCAGAATAAGCAACAGGGAGAAGGCAATACCCGAGTCGGCAGCTTGGGCGACGCGGGCGGCGGGGTGACCGGGGGAGGGGGCTGCTTGTGGCATTTTGGACCTGGATTCTGGACGCTATTGTGCGGGAGAAGAGATGGCGCCGGGCTTCTTCCTCGCACTCGCGGGGTGTCATGAGCACTTATATCGCTCTCCCTCTCTGTCTCTCTCTCTCTGTCTCCCCCCCCCCCCCCCCCCTCCCTCCCTCTCTCTCTCTCTCTCTCTCTCTCTCTCTCTCTCTCTCTCTCTCTCTCTCCCCCCCCCCCTCTTTAGGGTGGCCTCAGCCTAGAACGCGCGGCTGCCCATGTCTCGCGCTAGAATGACTAAACTATAGATTTGGGCGGGCTGGAGCTGAGGCTGAAGCTGAGACTGAAGCTGAGACTGTGCTGGCCCGAGACGGGGGCGCTTGTGATGTAACAACCTCCAGTGGGGCCCGGCCCGGCAGGGATTGGGCAGGGCAGCGCAGGGGATGGAGGCCAAAGCCCCAAGGAGTGGTGAGAGTACCCTCTCCGTGTGAGGTAGCCTGGGCGCGGTCTGAAATATACCCCCTACCCACCCCCACGCATACACGTGCGCAAACTCGCCCGAATCCTCACGACACGTTACGGTGGACCTGTCGGACGTTGCAGTTGGGAGTTGTAGTGTAGGTGGGATTGGGAAGCTGTCCACCCAGCGGCAGTTAGCGCCGTGCTAAAGGTCGGATTGCCCGGAGCGCCCTGCCCCGCCTGCGGAGCACGCGGGGGCGGCGGGGGCAGTGGCCAATCACAGATCAAGTTGCAGCCAATCAGCTATCTCCTTACGCCCCACCCGCGCTCAGCTCCACTGAGCCCCGCTCAGCACTACTTCTCTTTTACCGGCTCTCCTCACGCCGACGCCCGCGCATGCCTTGTTTTCCTTATTTTGTTATGCCCCGGCACTATGTCACGTGATCTCATCGTGCTATTTTTTTAAAGTTGTATTCTCGCCTTTTCATTTACCAAAAGCGGGCAACGCTGCCTTTTCTGTTTTGCTTTATGTCGGTTTTACCTATTCAGATCATGTAAATTTAATTGAGAGTCGTGACGGGAAGCCTCCCGTTAACTGCCTCGGGTTTAATGATTGGCCGGTTAAGTGGACGTGGCGACGCGATTCCACTCAAGTATGAGTGAGAATGCAGCAAAGTGATATCATGCAATGAAACTGTGCACTACGGAAAACTAAGTTGTTTTGCTCCAATTTCACGAGCTTCAGCAAACGGAGAAGTTATCAACCTCTCACTATACTCCTTGTCTTTTACCTTTGAAATTCTGTGGAAAGGGGGGGGGCGTGTATTTCTGTTTGCGGCTAGCTTGTATTTCTTGTCTTTCCATGTATTTTGCTCCATTTTAAACCTCTTCGAGCACAAAACGCATTTGTTATATTTCCGTTAAAATGCGTCGATTTATATCATTTGTTATTTTTATATTCTTTTGATTTTTATCAAGTTTTAAAGGCCTGTGCATTTCATATACCACCCCAACTGTGCATTTATAAGCCACTCCGAGGAGAGTTTAGAAATGCATACTATTTCTCGCTTTTTGTTGCATTAGTGTGTGGCGTGAATCAGCCACCTGGTACTCTGAAAACGAGAACCATTGGTTTTTGTGCATTTTATCAGTGCCTGTGTCCCTCTGTTGCAGTGCTGCGGCGTGTCCCAGACTGGCGCGGCTACCGCGGGGGCCCGCGGGGCCCGGCGCGCCCAGCGGGAGCGCGACCGGCGGGAGCGGGGCGAGGAGTCGGCGGACTCGCACGCGGACTCGCCCGGGGACTCGCACGGGGACTCGCCCAGCGACTCCAACGACCCTTCCAGCGACCCCAGCACCACCAGCTCCCGCCCCTGGCGCCGCAATGGGCACAAGGCAGTGTAAGTACCGTGAAACAAATGTGTTCTTCGTATCAAAGTTGTCCCTATGACCTTTTGCTTCTTTAGAAACTTGTGACTTTATTTCAAAGTCAAGAATATCAAATCAAGGAAAACCGAGAGGAAAACACCAGTAATGAGATCACAGTTCAGGGAAACCAAAGTTTAAAAAAACTGGGCAGGGTGTGTATAAATACGCGTATACATTCAAAATTCCAAGATCTTGTAAAATTTTTAAAATTGCCGGGATCTTGTACGAAAACTTTCCGGCATCCAACCCTTAAAAGTACATCAAAAAATCCTTAAAATCAAATAAGAAAATTTCTTTGGACATGGTTTAAAAGAACTTCGTCGGTTTGGCCCGGCCGCCCGGCCACCCCGAGCTGGCTGCGGATCCGGATTATACGGGGGGCTTGCGTCACAGGCGCGCCGCCCTGGATCGGATTCCTGCCCCGGAGCGGGACGCGTCGCCACGTTCTGTTTCAGTGCGAGATATTGGCGATACGCTACTGTATATCGCGACTCGCACAGCAGCGCCCCAAGGGCGTGACGGCGTCGTGGGGAGAGACGTGTGCTGGCCGCTGGGTAGCAAACTACGAGGCCGCGGGGTTCCCGTGGACGTCCTCCGGGGGCTGCAGCCTCCCCGTTGGTGTGGTCATGGCCATGGTCCGGAGGTCATGCCGCACTTCTTGCCTATGTATAGGCGATAGAGTTGCACTGAAAATTGCCTACCCAATCAGGCGTCGCACTTGTTCTGCGGTCCTTTGGAAAGCCTGCCCTGACCACTTCCAGTACCTCCTCCCTCCGCGACGTGCCTATGACATGGTCGCGCACTCGCGGTGCGCCGCCTGTCGCATTCATTCCAATCCTTCCTCTCTCTCTCTCTATCTCTCTCTACCCCCTCCCCCTTCTCTCCCTCTATCTCGCTCCAACACGTGCGGGTCGTGCGGGTCGGCAGCGCCCCAAAGAGGACTGCAGGCTGCAGTGGGCGAGGGAGGGGGTGGCATCGCGCTGCCCTCTCAAGTAGTGCTCGGGGCGGGGCGGGGCGGGCAGTGGGCGAGGGAGGGGGTGGCATCGCGCTGCCCTCTCAAGTAGTGCTCGGGGCG